CGATTTAAAAAAAAACGTTCGATTATATCACCGTTACACCGTAATAAAGGTTGAGTTCGAATTTCCTGAAAATCAAACCAAAACTGCCGGACAAAATGGCCGCCGCTTGTATGCGAATGGTGTAAAAATATGGTATATCAGGGTTGTGGACCCTGTAGAGGTCACAATTTTAATCTGATTTTGATGAAACTTGAAATGCATGTTTATAACCCAAAGATCTTGGTTCCTTTCGATATTTGCCCATATCGAATTGTAACTTCAAAAGTTATGGCCCTTGATTGTAGGAAAAATCACTTTCTTTTTAGCTTGTTCAATTATAATATCCATCTCTCGAAAATGTGGGCGTATCCTGCCTGGCAGTCGCTGGTTTTGAAAAGTATATATTATATGTTAATCAAACGATTAGTTTCCTTTGTTGCATGGTTACTGAAACAGTTAAGAATTAAAATCAAGTGCCAGTTTGTCGATGGCTGGGAGTAATTAAGATACATTACGGAGTTCTGTCACAGATCTGAATTTTAAGCAAATCAGAATTCAATGTCTATGTAGTTGAAGTAATCACATTTTACTCAAAACAAAATGGGGACGATTTATACTGTGTGAAATATAGACGATTTCTTGGTTTCCATATAACATTTGTCATAAGGTCGATACTTTTTGAAAAAAGAGCTATAGTGGACACCAGTAATTCAAACAGAACACAAACACTCCTTTAAATCAGAATAAACAACCCGGTGTTTTTATATCCATTCAAGGGATTAATGCCGTTCTCTCAGACAATTAATATGTAATATGTAAAATGAACCGACTAGCTATTTGGTATATGCTAATTGGAACAAGTTATTGCCATTAAAGTATCGATTTATCGATTGGTACGATCGAAAAATAACAATACTCTTAAAACACACCTCAAAAGACATTTGTTAGTTCTGCGTTGATATGCTGTTTGCTCAAGTAGAAACTTGTTTATCAGATTTCAGATCAAGCCTTGGTTGTCGATTGATGAACTTTATATATAAGTATTTTTACTCTTAATTTAAACCAGTAATTACGGTCTTCCGACATTGTTGGATGTTGGTTTTTATTGATGACACTGCTTGTTTCTTTGTGTGGACATTATTATTTCTGAATTATTTACTTGGAGTATATAGTGAATTCATGTGTTTTTAATATTTCTGACATAAATAATTGGAACAGGACTGTTAGTCATCAAGAGACATGTGTATAATCCATTTCTATGGGTTATTCTTTTAAAATGAAAGACTGCTTCTGGTACTATTGATAGCCTCCTCAACCACCAACAATAACTGCTTCCAGTATTTAATGAATCGGAATTAGTAAAGGAGAACGAGTAGCGGGATATTTTAGAAGAAACAATACAAAACCCTATTCGGATATTTTGAAAGAAGTATCGAGAAAATGCATAATGAATAACTGCGATCTAAGAGTAAATTCGGCAATGACCTTCTATAATATTGTTATAAATTTGTAAGTTATGAAAATGGATGAAATAGAGAGGTTATCGCCCGCTAGGAAGAAAAAAAAGAGAGGTTCTACTAAGTTTCGTAAACGTCAGTCATCATATAATAATGAAGAAAGGTAAGGATCGCTAGTGACAATAATACATTACAATATAATAGTAACAGTTCATATCTCAAAATTTCTCATTTGTGTTAAATAATGGTTTTTCAATGTTTTCAAGATGGTTGAAAAACACGTTTGACATTGTCAGTGATGTTAGATGTTCGCCGTATGGATATCTCACACGAGTACAGCATATATTTTATTTGAAACTCCAAAGATTTTATGTATAGTTTTGATATCAGATTCTAAGGTATACAATATTTACTTTTGGTTAAACATATATTATGTATCTTTAACAATGATTAGTACAAATATATAATGGATACTTTATATTAAGAGTACACGAAAGGATTTCTAACTAGACGTATGAATAATTCTTGGAGTATAATAATTCTCACTGTTATACACTACTGGGGTATAAGAATTCTCACTGTTATACACTGGGGGTATAATTCTCACTGTTACACACTGGGGGTATAATTCTCACTATTATACACTGACTGGGTGTATTATTCTCATTATTATACACTGGGAGTATGATTCTCACTATTATCCACTAGGAATATAATAATACTCACAGATTACATACCATGACAATATTCTCATCCTAGAGGTATGTAATTCACCACATTACAAACTGAAAGTATACTACTCACAGATTACATACAAAGGATATACTTATATTTATAACTGGAGGTATTGAAAATTCTCACATATTACATACTGAAGGTACCGTGTATCTAAAATTCTCTCATATGAAATACAAAGGATACAAAATAGTTATATTTATTACATACTGAAGGTATATGCGATATCACCTCGGTGGAAGCGGACGTAAAATACAACTAACTCACACACATACTAAAGGTATATAAACTTCTCACGTATTACACGCAAAGGATGTAAAATTTCCTCAAATATTACATACCAAGGGTATATGTAATTCTCATTGATTACATACAGGGACGGGGTATATAATCCGGATAGATTACATACCAAGAATATATAATTGTTACCGTTTACATACTAAGAATATATAATTCTCACATATTACATACAAGTGAGAATATAAAATGCTCATAGATTACATGGTAAGAATATATAATTCTCACAGATTACATAGGGGGTTAGGGTAAGTAATTCGTACAGATTACATAATAAGGGTATCATGTAATTATCCCAGGTTAATAATAATGGTCAGGATTCATGATTTTAATACAAAAAAAATCTGTTTCATGGTTTCAATACTGGCGAATCATTATCACCATTATAATAAAAAATTATTTAGTTCCAAATAATGATTCTGGTTTTTATTTTCTCTTAGAAAAAAGCCCTCCCCCTCCAGCCCCCCCCCCCCCCACACACACACACCACAAACGCACGTAACGCCAATGTTAATACATGTAGTCAATACTAATGAATCAATTCATTATTGCGCTGATTTATTTAAAATAATTCAATTCATAACGCGAAATGTTTAGATCACGAGATTCAATTGAACGTTTGTTTGTTTGTTTAGTTTACCTGTAGTTTTTTTTTCTCGTAGAGATTTTATTTATTTCTCTCAATCCGAACTAAAATTAAAGTGATAAATTTCCAGTTTTGTAGATGAGAGGACAACAAACCTTGTATTTTTACCCCTCCGACCGTATTTGAATGGATCAGTCCAACTTGTATATTATATTTTATGAGAAAAAAGTACAAGAGTAACAAGATTAGTACTAATGTATTACTAATGTCCATTTTTTATCAACAGTTTCATTTACGTAATACAGAACTTAATGTAAATATCAATATTCAATATTTATATCGGTTGCTAGGTAATTAAAGAGAAACCCCCTCTTTAATAGACACTGGTATTTAATATAGGATAATTATTGTCAAACTGATCAACAGTAAATATTCGCTTCACTTTACCACCAACAGCACTGATAGGGATGACATCGGGGCGCGTTAATTAGCTCTCAATATTAACTTTTTGTCTACTGTAAACTGAATTCTAAAGCAATTTTTTACATTATGCGAACAAAAGTAAAGGTGTTTGAAGTATATCTGGATAAAAAAATTCCTATTTAGTGTTAAAAATATAGTTCCTTATGACTAACACAGGTACGTAACTGATATGGTTACACTCTGAAATACAAAGAATCGAACCAAATCCAGTACCGATTCAAACCCCGACACAGATCGTTAAACAACTGACTACCGCTTTAATGTGAAATTAGAATGAGAAATGTCGTTGTTGTAATATGATAGATGACTTCCTACTCTGATCTAAATGATAAAATCTCGTATCAGTAATTGAAAATATTGGTTTCTATACTGGAACCTAACATGCAGCATTTCTATGCAGTTATTGCTTTAGCAATATGTTAGATTAGAACACAATATTACGATTGGCGTAGCTTAATTAATTTAGAATTAAAATGCGTCTTTTTATTATTTAATACAACATTATCGGTTATACGCCCTCTTTATTGAAAACTACTTAACCAGTTAATGTTATGACTGAATGACATATTCTACCACTTCTATTTTAATTATGACAGGTTAATCGCTATTAATTTTTTTAATGAAAATATCACGCAGCGCCATAGAATTATTAAATTAAAGTAACGATGCGTGATTTGCATTTCTCGGAATACAAAACTTCCCACGGCTTAATTGGCTTGGATTTAATTGGTTTTGAAACAGGGCCATTAATTTTGTTCACGGGAAAAAAGATAGCAATCGTATAATTTTTACAAAAGGAAGAGCATAGATCGATGGAGTTTCCGGTTTGTAAATACTGAACGGAATTGAATCATATCTGAATTTATATTAATATTAGAGATTTCCGCAATATTAGTTGACACGAATGCGGTGCATGATATAATCACAATCAAACTGATGGATTATATAAAAAAAGAAAATCTATATGCTTAGTTTTATGAGCTCCTTTCAAAAGTTGGAAAAGAAAAACCTGGAAATTTCCCTTTATTGTAGAATGTAAGGGTTACCCTGAAAACTTTATGATGGAGACTGTGTTAAACTGTCGTAATAGAAACAATGTCCACTACAATGAAATGAAATAGGGCTTAACTTCCTACTGTTCTACTCCGGCTGGGCTAATGAAGTCGGGTATACGCCATACAGTATAGAGCATTCCAACTGCCAAGGGATCTTTTTCGTGCACCTCAATGTTTACACGGCACCTCGATTTTTCGTCTCATTTCGAGCGACTAGTCAGCTGTCCTTGCCAGTCCATCCATCCTGCACCACTGACAAGGAGAAACCACGCCGGAAAATCTCGATGAACTTTCTCAGCCAATATCGGCAGCGAACCTGCGACCTCCAGGTTAGCGAGCCAGCGTCTTACCCACTTAGCCACCGTGGTCCCCAGTGTCCACTACAAAACTTTCATTGTTTCTTTGTAGTGATGAAGAAGACATACTTAAAATGTATGAAGAGGATGGGGAGGATGAACCATCAACAGAAGAGGATTTGTTGGAACAAATCAGCGAACAGAAAGATCTCATTGAACATGTTAAATGTCAGCCATGGACAATGGCCAAGAAGATGAAAATATTAAAGTGAGTATAGATCAAACAACTATTATTTTGGTCTTCCAGTCGAATGAACCTCCCGTGGCAAATAGTCTCTTTCTGTACGACCAAGACAATCGAAATTAATCACAATGTCAACGGCTAAATCTATTTGTTAAGGCCAGCTCCTTTTTTGTCAAGGTCGCTGGGATGTTAATAAGGTTAGGGCACGTGATTTTAGGTGAGATTGTAGGTTAGGGTTGGGGTAAGCATTAGGGCTAGGTCAAACACCCATAATAACGCAACGCTCGTAATTGGCAAGTTCATCTTTACATTCGAGAACAGTAAGCAGTATCCCTTATGGTTCATAAACTTATTTTGGCTGAATTGCGGATAAGTCAGTTGGATAAGCGTTCCATCATTATTGTTTTCATTTCTGTGCTTTAAAGACCGATAATCTCTACTTTGACATTGAATCTGGCCTGATAGCCTACGTGGCCCTGCGATTAACCGTCCATGCTTTCTCCGCAAAATAACAATAATGATTTTTGTTTGTCTGTAAAATAAAGTCAGTGTCGCTGCCCTTTAAGATGGATTATGTTAATTGTTAAGTTCTGAGGATACGTGACAGGCTGCTGCTGACTTTCCAAAATATCGCCAATCATTATTCCGATAGCCAGTCAACCTTTACATCAGTTTGGTCGTATTTTATTATTAAGGTCAAATTTAAGGTCAAAATAAAACTAAAAAAATAATGACATATTATGTGCAATCGGTTACCGAGGGATAGTCATTTGAATGGTTAGCACGCCAAAATGAGAATATAAACCAAATTTTAGCAAAATCGAATGAGGTATGGGTTTCCTCGTTGGGAATTCTGACACGGACCGGTCCTATTTATAGATATAGATGAGTGTGAGAACAAGGAGTTTGAAGCTTGAAGATTTATCTAGAAATTGAAGCATTGCACAAATTGAGTTAGCTCTAGACTATAATGTTTCTTCAAATTATTTTTTTCTTCATGAACACGTATTAATGTTTAGGGTGACCTATATATATGCTGAAAACGTTTCAAATACATATTTTTCAGATTAGCGAAAGGTTTTGTGGAGAAACATGAAGGTAGATTATCAAAAAGTAAAGGTTATCAACAGAAAGGAAAACAGGTTATCTATTTTTATTCGCCTAGTATTTCGCATTATCCAAGTAATTAAAACTTTTTATTTAGAAATCTGTAATATATTTATCGTATTTATATATTGGGAAAAGAATCATACCCACACCCCCGCCTTCATTCTTTTTCGTCGAAACAGTGGTACCTTGGGTGTTACTAATGAACTATCAAAGTTAACTATTTAACAAACCATTTTATTTTCGATCGGTATTGGAAATCTGACACACAATAATTATATAAGAAAATGCAAATAACCGGAATATCTCAGTACGAAATTACCGAAATATTCCAGAATTAAATTACCGGGTAAATAGATTATCCGTGTGTAGCACTGAAATGTATTTACTTTTGTCAAGGATTTCATTCAATCTGTTCTATGTTGTACATCTACACATGGTACTTAAATCTGTTATTTTATTGTAGATTTTCCGTCAGTTAAAGAGAACCTGGAGTAATTTAGTGACCTCTCTTGTACCATGGGAGATGAAGATTAAAAGAATTGAAAGTACGCTTACCCTATTTTTAAAAATACACTGAAAATATTCCTAGCATAAATAATGTCATCTTTGGGTGCTACAACTTAAGAGTAGTTCAATTTTAAGATGTAATTTGTATCTGATTTAAATTACAATTCTGATTAAAGGATGTGAGGCTCTTATTTTTTGGAACCTTAAAATAGATAAAAATGAATGTAATGTAAAGTGATTTATATTCAATTTTTGAAAAAAAACTATTGTAATTTCTAATCAATTATGTTCGCTGAAATACGTGAACAGTTCAAACTGAACGGCAGTCCTTTAAGCCTGCTTAGTCCATTCTACACGGTTTTTTTTAAAAATTATTATTATTATGTCGTTAGTGAATCAGCGTTTACAAAATGACTTCCACGTTGTGTTGTAGGATATGTTTTTATTTGTTCATTACAAAATGTTACCCGAAACCACAGAGTACACGACTCTTGTACTGAATATAATATGTTAATTGTGTCTTGGATATTAGGGTCCTATAGTTTCACGGCAAGATAACAATATTGAAGTTTAATTCGTGTTTTTAATTTCGAATATTATGGAAAATATTGAGTTAGAGACTTCTGCTCCTTTAAATCAGGTTCAACAACAGCTTATTGTTAGATGTAGTTTTTAAGTAAGCATACTCTGCAAGCTCCGTGTTTAATCGCTTACTTCTATTTTCATTTCAGGTCATTTTGGTTCCGTGGTTGTATCCTATTTTGTCTTCCTCCGTTGGTTAATTTGGGTTAATGTAATCTTGACTTTAATGACCACATGTTTTATAGTTGTACCAGAACTTATAGCTGGTGAACCACATGGTAGTAATAGTCGTAAAACAGTACCAGACGATGAACTTGATACGGCGGCTGATCTCAAAACTATATGGAACGCAGGTGTACGTCTTGTTTTTTTCTTTTGTCCCAGATTGATTAATATTAAGTGATCAAAAATATACCCACGAGTATAAACGAGATATAATGAACACGCCCGCTACAAACAACTCGGTATCAAACATGGAGTTGCTTCAAGAAGTTAAGACAACCATGTCACAAGCACGAGCGTTTAAATTTACCCAATATGGGTTATTCCTTCTTCGTATTGTACACGTAACCATAGAAAAAAAAACATGCATTGGGTCACAAGATTTTGTTTTTTTAATGATAAGCTAAGTCTCACAACAAATTAATTGGTTACTCATATTGCAAACAGGAAATAATAACAGTTGGATTTATTTATAACGTTTTCGTTCGCATGTTTCAGGGTATAATGCGTCAATCTCTGTTGTTTTACGGGTATTATGGTAGTGAGACTGTGATTGGTGATGGCTACCGACTTCCTCTTGCTTATTTGATCTGTGGTATTGCAACATTTGCTTACAGTTTTATAGTGGTGCTCAAAAGGTAAGATGGATTCCATTTAATTATTAAAAATGGTGACGCTTAACCTTTGGGCGCGCAACCTAGGGATCTAGTATCGAACCAAGTCTATTACTTAACTAAAATCCTCTGATAAAGCGACAATGATCTACAACAATTCAAAACTGAAGCTCTAAGAAATGTGGTTTTAATAGAATCTTGTTATACATCATATATAACATTGTTTCAAAACTTTAATTGATAAACCATTTTCAATGAGTTGTAAATATAACTAGAACTTTTAAAAAATTGAAATTGTTTAAGTGATACAGTGAAGAATACTACCGTTGCAGGCACAAAGCAGTTTCACAAACTGAATTTGACAGTTATTATTATATGACGTCTAAATTATTAGTATTAACTATTCTATCGTCATTGCTTTTTTCATTCTCTTAGAATGGCGTCAAATTCTCGTCAGAGTAGATTATCTAATAAAGATGAACAATTTACTTTTTCCTGGAAGTTATACACAGACTGGGATTTTATGGTTGCCAACCCAGAAACCGCCAAAACTAAACACGCTTCAATTATTACTACATTTAGGGTAAGTGATCGTTAAATATGTGGGCGATAAAATTAATATTTATTGGTGTAGAAGAATAGGTCTAATACATGAATACGGTGTATAGGAATTGAGATTTCCAAATGAAAGTCAAACCAATAGACCACCGTACGTCACATCTTTACATTTCATGCTCCAAAGAGCTCATTTAGAAACCACCAAACATGCTGTATTAAGTTAATTGTTGTTTTGTTACAGCTCCTGTTCTGTTTAGGTGTGTCTGCTGCTTCCCTGCAATTGCTTCTACTTTAGTTTGACTTTCATCATTTCTACCACAGCTATTTCTAACCCCCTGTTGCTATCTGTTCGATGACGTCTTTGTAGATGTTTAGTCAGCTTATACGATTTCTGTTGCTGCTCTTTTGCTTTTATATAAGTTAGTCTTTCATCGAATGTTGTCGACTCTTAAGGTGTTGATTATTCATGCTGTTATTAGCATGTGACAAACCCAATATCTTTGTTTTTATGCTGACTTTGCTCTTGGGACGACTTCTATTTGTATCGCTGTATATGTTTAAGCTGCTTTCAATGAGTCAATGTTGTTATTGTTTCGTTGCGACCCCATCGTACTGATTAATTTATGGCTAATTTCAGGAAGCTATTTTAGAAGAAAAAGAAAAGACTCGGGAAGAAATGAGGTAACTATCTAAATTTGCATCAGCTTATTACTGTCTCTTATTAGCAGTGAATTATTTTCGTGATGCTTCTTCTGATAAAAAAAAAATAGTCTTTAATTTTTTATTGGTATTGTTTATATTTTCAGTAAATTATTAATATTTTTCCGGGTATTGGCGAATGTGTTAGTGTTGTGTTCATTAGCATTGAGTGCCTATATTATACAGCTGTGTGTAGAAAGAGGTAGGGAAGTAGAATTAAGAAAAATGAACGACCCAAGCTTTGTTCCTGGTTTTTGGGATGAGAATGAGGTAAAGATGTTGCGATACATATTCGTGGTTTTATATGAAACACCATTGATCCATTATTCGCAGTTTACCAATTACAAATATTCACCTTATTTTAAAACTAGTAAACAATTTAACTTCGTAAACAATTTACTAATACTGTTATTTAACTTAAATTACTGATATGACTAAACTGCATTAATAAAACAGGGTACAATTTTATGGATACCCAAAGAAGCATTAATAATACTTATATTATACCGAGATTACTGATTCTAGTAAACAAAATACTAATACTGTTACGACTAAACAACTTAATAATACTGACCCTAGTAAACCATATGATACCAGTATTCAACTTAACGAAAGACATCAGCAAACAAACAGCTTACTGATACAGTTATTCAACTTTAATTACTGATCCCAGAAAATAATTTACTAATACTACCTAGTAAAAGAGAGAGAGAAATGGGGTTTTACGTCCACTTGACACAAACTAGGTCATTTAGGGACTAACTTATGGTTCACTTTTATTTCAATAATTCGCTTGCGTGTAGGGGTCTTTAGCAGTGGGAGGAATCTGGAGCTCCCGGAGAAAACCCACGAGGTTGGACAGGCGACACTACTCCTTGTCACGTACAACCGGGGAATTGAAACTACTACTACTAGTATTCCACTGTAGTTGCTAATATACGTATACAATTTAAACCCTATTTCTTTTCATTTCACAATTTAACATATTGATACAGGTGAACAATTTACTAAAAACTGTTTTACTGATACTAGTATTCAACTTTTAATACAGATAGTATTGTAATGAACTGAATAGTGTAATGAGACCCTTCAGCTCCACTCATTAATACTAATACTAGAATAATATTACATTATTCAGTCAAGCTTGATAATACTTACGTCATGTTACTAATATAACTCCAGTTTTCAATGTTCCAACAAAAAATTAATAGGATATATTTTCATTTCAGCTAACTATAATAATGACTCTAATATCAACCCTGTTTCCAAATATATCGGATCTAATATCATTAATTGAGAAGTACCATCCTAGAACTAGTCTTAGATTACAACTAGCCAGGTAATATATTGATATATATATATTTGAAATGATACAAATTTACAATCTACGTTAACATAAGAAATGATATCCGGTGTCTCAAATGTGTCTTTTCTTTTGTCTTTTCAGAATTTTTGCATTAAATTTATTAAATCTGTACACACTGTTCATAGCCCTATATAATAAACAGAATGATTTGGTAAGTATCAAGCATTTAGATTAATCGAAACATTCAGGTCAAGCATACGGTGTGGAAAATGGGAGATTGTGGCAAGTGGTTGGAGATTGGGCTATTTTGTTGAAGGTGCGAAACTTAGGTCGGGATTTTTGGAGCCGACATGGACGTTGAAAAACTGACGTACTCCTCTCGTGCATACATTTCTTGTACGTAAAGAACACTTGTCAATTGGAATTAGTTCTTTCGGAAACATTCTTTCTACTCATCTTTCAATCTAGAGATTATATTGCGTTAAATACAAAATATTAAAATTCTGATAAATCCTAATAATTATGCTTTGTGATTTGATTTCCTTCAAAAATATTAAGGATACTAATTGACTATTAAAAAAAGGGAGAACATAAAGTTTCAATTTTCAAAATACAATAAAGTAAACATGTTTTTTTAAAGAACAATTGATCTATTGATAAAAATAATGAACATGTTGTAAAAATAAACTGAGATATTTACACTAAAAATAAGTAAGACAAGGATAACACACTTGTCCTTACCTATCAATACTATCTAATAATATATCGACAAAACAAAACATTGCGGAGGCATTGAACTTTACTTTAAAGTACATAACTATTTAGTCTACTCAGTAAAATTCATTTCGTGACAGTTATATAATGGACTGATGTGTTATGCTAGTATTAGAAAATTTATTAACCGGTTAATCAACTTTTAGATTCAATATTTATTGTTTGCGTTAAATGTCAATAATCTTGTGCGAGTGAAATGTCAATAATCTTATTCGACTTTATGATTATGATACACATGATGCACATGAATGCTGGACTTCATAGATATTCTTCTAGAGTCTTAGTCCATGGACATTAATGGCACGCTATTGATAATTGAGAACACATAACATCAATATGCGAACCATAAACAGTTTTTATATATATTATTTAAACTACGTGGTCTGGTAGTATTGAAAAGTCAATGGTTAAATAACAGGATAAATGGATATGTACTAAACAATTATTTGGCAAATTTGATTCCTATATACTGTAGAAAATCAGTTAATCGACGTATGTCCTCCAGTGATATTTGCGGTATGCCATCATTAAACTTTGACCCAACATACAAAAGGGTTATTTCTCCAATTTCTGATAATGATGACGTTATCGGAAGCCAATTGCTTAAGAACTGGAGCAACTTGTTTACTACAGTAATGTGACAGAAATCGTTAGTTGTGGAATCTTCTAATATTTATACATTTGACCGGAAGTGGATCAAATATCACATAATCGTTGTATAATTTATATTTTTATTTTTCAGAAAGCTTTTGCTACAAGTCATAATACAACAATCATTGTTAATACAACCATGTGCCATAATATGTCTTCCAATACTCTCCTTAATACGCCCTTTTCTCCTAGTCTTAATACCACGGATCCTATTAGTAATACATCTTCACCAGTTATAACTACGACAGCAACTGTGGTGGCAGCACTGGGTAATGAGACACTGTGTAAATCAGGCAACTTAACATCACAAGCAACAATTTGTTGGGAAACTATGATAGGCCAGGTAAAGGGGTTATATAAATTGGTATTTGATCCAAACTAAGCTCTTGCTAAACACAAAAAAACGTTAGACGAGGACCTAATATCTATAAAGCTTAGTAGACTCTTCGAGACTCTTGTAAGTTTGGAAACATAGAACAATTAAACTCAAAATATAACGGCCTTTTAAAAGTAAACAAACCATTTTCAGGGTTATAGTTCACTTAAAAGGTCAGCCCACGTTTTACAAACTGCAGCTTATTTGACTTATATTGGGCATAATAATATACAAAACATATCCATGTGGGTTTAACACGTCAAATACGGCACGGCTAGGATTCTTTGTATAGTTTTTTCTAAATGAGAGAGCGAACAGCAAAAACTAGGTTTTTTTTTATCAGAACTAACAACGCGTAGCAGTAGAAACCATACGAGATTAAGCAGTTGAGAATATTCCATGTCACGTACAAACCTGGAATGAAAACTCACGCTTTAGCAATTTAACATATGGATTTTGGATAGTCAGATATTTGGATTGTTTTTCATATTCTATAGTTAATTACAATTATGGTTTATTTTTGGCTATTTTACCGATTTTTATTCCACAGTGTAGAACATAAAATAAATGAATTCAGGACGGATAGCTTGGCAAGGGACAAGGTATAGTCGTTCGGGGGGGGGGGGGACAAAAAAACAAGATCCCTTGTACTT